GTGGATATTGCTGCGTTGCCGCTCTCTCTTGAGAGCCTTGGTGTCGAGTTGTTTACGTCACCCTTCGCTCTTGGGCGCCTTGGGACCAGTCCCCCCCCCAGAACTAATGAAATCGGAGGTGGGGGGGGGAGATCGCAGTGAAACGGAGACCCCCCACCGGGAAATCGGTTTTCGTGTTCGTGTCGTGCGTGCGGGCGAGGCGAAGTTGCGCGTGATCCCCCTGTAACTATAGGAGCGAAAGTCCGGGTGCCCGTCCGCAGGTGGCTGTTCGGGCAGGGCGGTGTCACGGGTGTCCCGGGTGGGAGCGAAAGTCCAGGTGCCCGTCCGCCGGTGGTTGGGCCGGGCGGTGTCCCGGGTGTCCCGGGCGTCCCGGGAGTCCCGGCGCTAACCCACGTCGCTAATTTCAGAATTCGTGTTTTTCGGCGCCTGCGGCGGGCTTTCTTATCCAATCCAGCTTATCTTATCTTATCTTATCCAATCCATCTTGTCCAATACAATTAATCTTATCTTATCCAACCCATCTTGTCCCATCTTATCTTCGGAGGTTGGGGGGTGAGATCGCAGTGAAACGGAGACCCCCCACCGGGAAATCGGTTTCGTGTTCGTGTCGTGCGTGCGGGCGAGGCGAAGTTGCGCGCTGCGCGTGATCCTCCTGTAGTTAGGCCGAAGTAGGAGCGAAAGTCCGGGTGCCCGTCCGCCGGTGGCCGGTTGGGCTGGGCGGTGTCCCGGGTGTCCCGGGTGTCCTGGGCGTTTTCCCGTCCGCCGGTGGCCAGTTGGGCCGGGCCGGTGTCCCGGGTGTCCCGGGTGTCCTGTGGTGTCCCGTGGTGTCCCATTGAATGAGATCGATAGTGAGATTGACAGGTGTCCCGCCGTGTCCGTGGTGTCCCGTGGTGTCCCGTTGAGTGATATCGATAGTGAGATCGATAGTTAGATCGACAGGTGTCCCTCGGTGCCCCGTTGTGTCCTAAGGTGTCCCATTGAGTGAGATCGATAGTGAGATCGATAGTGAGACCGATAGTGAGATCGTGAGGTGTCCCGCGGTGTCCGGTGGTAGCCCGTGGTGGCCCGTGGTGTCCCGTTGAGTGAGATCGATAGTGAGATCGACAGGTGTCCCGTGGTGTCCCGTGGTGTCCCGTTGAGTGAGATCGATAGTGAGATCGATAGTGAGATCGATGTGGTGCACCGAGGTGTCTCTCTGTGTCCCGGGGTGTCCCGCTGAGTGAGATCGATAGTGAGATCGATGTGGTGTCCCGAGGTGTCCCGTGGTGTCCCATGGTGTTTCGTTGAGTGAGATCGATAGTGAGACCGATAGTGAGATCGAGAGGTGTCCCGTGGTGGCCCGTGGTGGCCCGTGGTGTCTCGGTCGTGTCCCGTGGTTTCCCAAAAAGTGAGATCGATAGTGAGATCGACAAGTGTCCCGTGGTGTCCCGTTGAGTGAGATCGATAGTGATATCGATGGTGAGATCGATGAGGTGTCCCGAGGTGTTCTGTGGTGTTCTATGCTGTCCCGTTGAGTGAGATCGATAGTGAGATCGATAGTGAGACCGATAGTGAGATTGAGAGATGTCCCGCGGGGTCCCGTGGAGGCCCGTGGTGGTCCGTGGTGGCCCGTGGTGTCCCGTTCAGTGAGATCTATAGTGAGATCGATAGTGAGATCGACAAGTGTCCCGTGGTGTCCCGTTGAGTGAGATCGATAGTAATATCGATGGTGAGATCGATAGTGAGACCGATGATGAGATCGAGAGATGTCCCGCGGTGCCCCGTGGTGGCCAGTGGTGGCCCGTGGTGTTCCGTTGAGTGAGATCGATAGTGAGATCAACAAGTGTCCCGTGGTGTCTCGTTGTGTCCCTTTGAGTGAGATTGATCGTGATATCGATTGAGTCACATGTTGGTTCCCCCCCTCTTTCTTCCGCCCCCACGACCTCCTTATCACCCAAAGGGTTGTCGTATAGGTAATACATTATTTCGTTCATTTTGCAAGGGCTTGGGGGGCCGTTTGGGCGCGTCTTTTGGACCTCTTGGGGGTTCTTGGGAGCCTCTTGGGGGGCCATTGGGGGCTTCTCGGGTGCCTCTTGGGAGCCTTTCGGGGATGGTGCACGCTTGCTGTTTTTCCGGCCCCGCGCGGTCGAGCATCCGATTTCACAATCGATCTCATTCGATCGATCACATTATCGATCTCATTCGATCGTTCTCACTATCGATCCCACTCGATATGGGAACCTTGGTGTTCAGAGATAGTTGCGTTTCGGGCTCGCTCTGGGGAGCCTTGGTGTCGAGTTGTTTACGTCATCCTTCGCTCTTGGGCGCCTTGGTACCATTTCCCCTCCCCCGGGAACCAACGAAATATGAATTATTTCGTTTATTTTGCAAGAGCTTGGGGGGCCGTTTGGGCTTGTCTTTCTGACCACTTGGGTGGCCTCTTGGGGGCTTCTTGGGAGCCTTTTTGGGCTTCTTGGGGGCCTCTTGGGGCCTCCCGGGAGCTTCTTGGAGCGACCCTTAAGAGCTTGTTCCGCCAACGTTCGTATTGGGAGCCTTGGTGTTCAGAGATTGTTGCGTTGCCGCTCGCTCTTGGCACAGCATACAGCACGGGATGTCAATGTGCCGGACGATTTGCATTTGCATTTGTTTATCATGTCGATTTATTTTTCGATTTGCATTTCGATTTGCATCTCACTATCGGTCTCACTATCGATCCCACGATCGATCTCACTATCGACCTTACTATCGATCTCACTCGATCGGTCTCACTGTCGGTCTAACTCGATCAATGTCACTGTCGATCTCGCTCTCGATCTTGTTTTCGAGCCCACTATCGATCTCACTATCGATATCACTCCATCGATCTCACTATTGATATCACTCCATCGATATCAGTATCGATATCGCTATCGATCTCTCTATCGATCTCACTCGATCGATCTCACTATCGATCTTACTCAATCGATCTTACCATAGATCCCACTATCGCTCTCACTATCGATCCCACAGTCGATCTCACCATCGATCTCACTCGATCGATCTCACTATCGATCTCACTATCGATTTCACAATCGATCTCACAATCGATCTCGCTATCGGTCTCACTATCGTTTTCGCACCAGCGGGACACCGGGACACCAGCGGAACACCGGCGGGACACCGGCGGGACCCCGTTTGCCGGTCGGGAAACAGGAGGAGGCGCGCGCCTCAGCCACAGGAGACTTACCGGGACACCAGCGGGACACCGGCGGGACACCGCGCGGCCCCGTTTGCCGGGGGGGATCATTTGGTGTGGCCGCGCCTCACCCACAGGAGACTTTCCGTTCGCCCGCCCACGCAGCTTCGCCTCGCCCGCACGCACGGCACGCACGAACACGAAACCGAAACCGATTTCCGGTGGGGGGCTCTCCGTTCCTTTTCGATCTCACCCCCCAACCTCCGATTACATATTAATTTGTTATTGTTGTTTGACAGTAGGAATTTCGTTGTAGGCCAGTAGGAAAGCCCGGACGGTCGGTCCCTGTTCAATTGGTTGTTTAGCCTGAAGTCGGGCGTCGAGTGATGGATTTGCGATTAATTGGGGGTGGGGAAAGTTGCCCCTGAGTCCCAACAGGGGCACGATCGGTGGGCGTTGCTCCCCCCCATAGTATCGCCCCCCCACCAGTTCACGCTCGACGAAACATATACCCACCCGTCGGTCGTTGAAAGTACGTAGGTATTTCTGGATTCCCAGATCCTAATCTACTTCAGGCGCCCTCCTACTTCAATGATCGAGTGGTTGTCCCTCTTCCCTCCTCTCCGAGGTGGTGGGCGGAGGTTAATCGCTTCGCTCATTCCGCCGGCCCGTATTGTGCCATCGCAGGCGTTTGCTTGCGCGTTCGTGGCCTCTTGGAGCCTCGGTGGGGCCGTTTGGGGCCTCTTGGCGCCTCTTTTTAGGCCTCTTGGAGAACTCGGGAGGCCTCCAGGGGGCCTCCTGAGCTCTCGTGACGGTCTCTTGGGGGGCTTTCGGCGGGCTCTTGGCGGTATTTGTTGGTCCTCTTGGGGCCTGGGGCCTGACGTTGTTGGTCCTCTTGGGGCCTCACGGGAGCTTATTGGGGCGTCTTGGGGGTGTCTTGGAGAGTCTCTTGGGGCCTCTTTCGGGGTCCTGGGCGCCTTCTGGGGCGGAGGGCTCGATTTTTCAGTTCTCGGTTCCCTTCTTGAGCCCCTCTTGGGCCCGTCTTGGGGCCTCTTGGTCCGCCTTGGGCAGCACTTGGGCCGTCTGGGGGGCGCTCTTGGGCCGCTCCGGGGCCGTCTTGGGAGCCTCGTGGGCCGTCTTGGAGCAGTCTTGAAGGCCTCTTGGGCCCTCTTGGAGCGTCCGGAAGCGAAAAGGCCAGAACGCAAAAAAACATAGAAAAAACCAATGAAAATCAACGATTTTGGCAACTTGGGGCCCTCTTCGGAGGCCTCTTGGAAGGCCCTTGGAGCGTCTTGGAGGCCTCTTGGGCTGTCTTGGGGCCATCTGGGGCGTCTTCGGGCGATCTTTGGCCGTCTCGGGCCTCTCTTGGACCGTCTAGAAAGCTTCTCGGGGCCCTCTTGGACCGATCTGGAGCCCTCTTGGACTCCGAAACAGAACTCCGGCATCTCTGACCCGACCTTGCCGGGACCTTGCCGGGGTACTTTTCGTCCGGGGACCACCAGGGGCCGCCCCGCGCGCGCGAACTAGAAATACTGTTAACCAGGTACCGGAGATCTTAGCACGCCCTGGCCCGTTGGGCCGGCGAATTTCCAACGCACTCTTACTTCGTGCGTCTACCCACTTCTTCCGACCGACAGATATCCTCATCCTTCTGATCGGCATCCAGTCAAGCCAGATTATCTTCGAGGAGGGAGGAGGAGTGAGAAGAGGAGGAGGAAGAGGAGCAGGAAGAGGAGGAGGAAGAGGAAGAATGTGAGGAGGAGGGAGAGGAGGTCGAGGAGGCTGCATGATCCGGCTTGTCTCTCCTGGGCCCCCTCCCGAGCGCGCAGAGAAAAAACAACGGCAGGGAGCCGGCCTCCTCGCCACGCCGCCGGGGGGCCTCGGCCCAGCGGGCTCTGGCGCGCAGTCCCCGCTGGCGGCGGGGGCCTCCCACGCCGAGGACGGGCCCTCGTCGGTCGGCTCTGTCGTCGTCGTCGTCGCCGCTTCTGTCGTTGTCGTCGTCGTCGTCGTCGTCGTCGTCGTCGTCGTCGTCTGTCGTCTGTCGTCTGTCGTCTGTCGTTTCGAAGAGCGCCATAATCATAAGCTTTTGGCGCTCCGCGCGGATTTCTTGGATCCGCGCTGGGCCCCCCTCCCTGGAGCGCGCCAGGGGCGGTGCCGGAGGCGCCGCTGGGGGGGGCCCAGCGCGGATCCAAGAAATCCGCGCGGAGCGCCAAACATTTTTGTTTGTTTGTGGCGTTTATGTTCTTCTTCTATTCGTTGGTCGGCTCTGTCCTCGTCAGTCGTCGTCGTCGTCGCCGTCGCCGTCGTCGTCCCTCGCCGTCGTCCCTCGCCATCGTCCCTCGCCGTCGTCGTCGTCGGCGTCGTCCCGTCGTCCCCCCGTGGTCGTCTCTATCGTTGTTCGAGGGCTCGCTTTCCAGAGCGGCTGCGCGAGGGCGCGAAGATACCGCGTCTCGCAGAGCGCGATGCGCAAAGTTAGGTGGCCCACGGTCTTGAAGGAGGGGGGGGTCTGTGCAAGTGTGTCGTGCTCTTGTTTTGGGCCCCTGGGCCGCTCTCCTCCTTCTCCTCCTCCTCCTCCTCGTCCTCCTCCTCCTCCGCCTCCGCCTCCGCCTCGTCCTCGTCCTCCTCCTCCTCCCCTTCCTCCTCCTCCTCCTCCTCCTCCTCCTCCTCCTCCGGGCGCCGGGGCCGTCAGAGAACAGGGCGGGATGACAAGCCAGTCTGGAGAGAGCCTCGGGATCGGGGGCCCGTTTCCACCTGGATCCCGTTCCCTGCCGCCAGACCCTCTCCTCTCAGGGCCTGTCTGTTCCTTGGTGGGGCCACCTTCCCCTCCGCGGAGGAGCCGGCACGACGGACGGACGGGCGCTGGGTGGTCGCTCCCTCTCCCTGTCCGCCCAGTCTGTCTTAAAGTTTGAAGAGCCTTGCACTAGGAAATACTCGAGCACTCGGCAGGAACATCTGCGCCGTATCGTCCTGTCCTGAGGCTGTGATCGAAGGCTGTGGCCCGAGCTCAACAGGACGCGATGGTTTCGAGGTGCTTGCTTCTCATACGACGACACCATGGAGCTATCCGATCTCTGCCCGCTCCCATCTCCACCACTTGCCCTCCCCTTCCCCCTTTCATTTGCGCTTCCCCTTCTGTTGCGCCTTCCCCTTCTTTTGCGCCTTCCCCTTCTGAGTCCTCTTCCCCGCTCGGCCCGAGCGAGAGCTGGCCCGTGCTGCAGAGACCGGTCCGCAGAGCCCTCCGGGCGATTTTTGGCCGGGACTTTCCCCTTCAGCGGGAGATGGGGAGAAGCCTTTGGGCAAGCCTACTTAGGGGCAGGTGTCGGCGGCGAGCGAGGGGGGGAAGTGAAAAGGAGAAGGCCTTCTCGGAAGGCGGCGGGACTTCTCAGAAGCTCTCGCGCCTTCTGAGAAGTTGTTTGTGTCTTCGGGGAAATCTTAGAAAACATCTGGGCAAGCCCATTTAGGTCGAAGAAGAAGAAAAGAAACAAGACAACGCCATAAACATAAGCTTTCGGCGCTCCGCGCGGATTTCTTGGATCCGAGCTGGGCCCCCCGGCGGCGCCTCCGGCGCCGCACCTGGCGCGCCCGCCAGGGAGAAGGTCCAGCGCAGATTCAAGAAATCTGCGCGGAGCGCCGAAAGTTCATGTTTATGCCGTTGTTTCTTCCTCTGTTCGGGGCAGGTGAGCGACGCAAACAAAACAGGGTCGCTTGCGCCGACATTGGCGCGTAAGTTGCCCGCGTAAGGTCGCGCGTGAGCGCCCTCGTGTCCAATAAAGCGTGCCGCGCCGGCGGCCCGCGTAAGCCACCGCGTAAGATCGCTATGTCGTCTCGCGTAAGACCCGCTTCTACTCGTCGCCCAGGTGAGTTTCTGGCAGGCCGCCATGAGGATGACTCGTTCCAGGGCTTGCTGGAGCGCTCTCGGAGCGTTCCAGCCGCGGCTCCCCGTGCAGCGCATCTTCGAGTTTACCGTACAGTCGGACCGAGGTATAAGATCGAGGTCGTTTCGGTGAGGGTACCTACTCTGGGTTTCTTAATAAGGGTGGGGGGTACCCCCCCGACGGGGGTCAACCTCGCCTCGTCGTCGCGCCGCGACGGGGGTCGGAGCGCCTTCGGCGCGCAGTGGCTGCCCGCGACGGTGGTCGATGTGGGGCTGTCGGCGGGGGAGACGCCCCCCCGACGTTTACGAAGAAACGCGGAGTAGTGTTCTTCGTGCTTGTTGGATGTTCTTCTGCATCTTGGGGAGGGTACCCTTGCATGTTCTGTGTGTCTTGGCCGGCGGAAGGTCTCATGCTCTTGAAGGATGTTCTTCTGGCTTAGGTGCGACTGTAATCTTGCCTTCGTCCTAATTCGAATCCGGTCAATCAAGCGTGTTGCCCCTCTTCCCTGCCTCTCCCCCCTCGTCCATCGTCCTCCCCCTGCTCTCCCCCCTCTCTCCCTGAAGGTGCAAGTTCCGCGTACTGTTGCCGCGAGTGCTTTCCGTCGGGTGGCTTGCTCAACGCAGTGCCCAGAATCGACGCAATGAGTGTGTGGGTTCGCCTGCGTGGCTTCGCATGATGATAGTTGAAAGGAGTAGTTTTGTTGAAGCTGCACAAGCGGCATATGAAATATGTCGCATCGGAGGCTATCTGAGACCACATGTTGCTCCGGCAATGTCCGGAAATGTACGCGGAATGCCAGGGGTGACAATTCTTTGTTTGTCATGCGATCATGCTTGAGGCAAACGTTTCGTTGACCCATGAATTCAGAATAAGGGATAGCGACTCTCAGATGGATGTTCCAGCAACACAGAGAGGTATCGCATCGTTCAGCGCCACATGGATGGTATTGAGCCCAATCCACACAGAAGCAGTTATCCTTGATCCGACGCTTGCAATATCTGACATATGCCACGTACAAGACTGACAGAGTCTGCCTGTCCGAGGAATGACAGGAGGCTAGCGTGAATGCTTGGTACGCGATGTGTTTCCGAGGGTCCATATACATACATGTAGATCCCAGTCTGCGAAGCGGGTGCTGTGCTGCTATGCCAATTCTTCACGAGCGAGCTGGCCGATCGGCTCCCAGATTTTGGAAAAAAACGACTTCTGTGTGCGCTGCACTGGTGGCAAAATCTCTCCATCCCCCCAGGTCCTCCCCTCCTCTCCAGAAACGGGACCCCTCCCTCCCCCGCGAGAACGAGAACCCCCAGCATAAGGCTTCGCCAAAATATAACCGGTAGCAGCCCTACAGATGTGGCCAGCAGGCTCCAGCCCACAACCTCGGGAAGTAATCAGAGTACGAACATACAAGCTACCATAGGGATGGGCACCACAAGGGAACGGATGGAGCGCCACGAGGACACTGGGTACGGAGGGGGCATTACAGACAACTACGGCGACTGCGAATGTACCAACCGCTGGGGACGGCCATGACCCTCAGGGCTAGCGTTGTGACTGCGACGGCTCCAACCAGCGGTCAGGGGATTAACGTAAAGGCCCACCAGAGAGCCCCTTAGACCAGTCGTCAGGTCCAACGGGAACCCCAAGAGCCGCGAGACCCCTCAACCCGACGCCTGACTGTACGTGCTGTGGAGGCTCACACATCTTCCCGCTGGTCGTATCGGTCACAGTCACAAGCATAAGAAGAGAAGGCAACCGCCGTTGCATTGACAAAGGAGGCTCTTGACTCGACCGAACAGGTGCTGATTGACCAGAGACAGCATGCGAAATACGTTTAGCGACGGCTTCAGCATCGAACAACCCAATACTGGAGGCGCAGCGCAAGCACGCTTGCACCATGATCATGACTCCCAGGAGGAGGTGCAGGAGACCGTAGATGGTCAGCAAGAGTAGATGTCACGGGCTGCGTCTAGAGTTTCTTCCCCCGTTGCACTGGTCTCGGGAGGGGGTGTACGCCGCTGCGGCTTGTTGCCCCTTCCCCTCTCCTTCTCACGCGACACGCTCGGTTGAGCTACGGAATGTGCCTTCGCCGACGCCTCGGCGGCTTGGCCATGGGCCCCGCGGCTCCAGGCAGGGCGGCCCTCGTGTGAAATGAAGGGCCTCTGCATCCGCATTCATCACGCAGAGGTCCAGTGCTTTTGCCGTCTGGTATGGCTGACGACCCCGAAGGGCCCTTCTCTTATCTTGCCTTGCTCCCCCGCTCGCAGCCGGCAAACGACAACGATATCGAAGTCGCGGTCCTTGTAGCCGTCGCTGTTGTCGGCAATTCGGTAGGTCGGGCGGAACATGCCGTCGTCGTCGTCGTCGGGGACTCGACCAGTCGGGCGGGACACGTCGTCGCTCGCCGTCGCCATCGCACACGCCGGCGTCGTCGTGGCCGTCGTCGTACTCCTCGTCCTCGCGGATTCCCGGCGCCGGGGCGGGCGGGCCAGACATCGTCGTTGTCGTCGACGTCGTAGTCCTCGACATCTTCGTTGTCTTTGTCGTCTGCCCGCGCCAAGGGGGGAAGGGTTGATCCCCCCTGTTTTCTTTTGGGGGAGAGGGTCGAAGGCCCCTCCCCCCGACTTTCACTTTCGCGGGGAGGGGGGGAGGAGAGAGGGGAACACACCTACTCACCCGCGGGACTTTTGCCAGAAGTTCTGCGGGTGAGGAGGATTGGTCCCCCCCCACTCAAATTTTGGGTGGGAGGTTGTATGTCCCCACCCCCGACTTCCTCCCAGCGTACTCAGAAGACACTCTGAGTTTGCTTGAATGTCATCGAAACAGGGCAGACAGGCGTTGTACTATCGGCGTCGCGCAGCAGGTGCTCGGACTGGAATCTATGTCGGAAGTCGAGCTCGCGATATCCAGCCGAGGAGATCGAAATATCCAGAATAGGAATATTTAGCCATGAGGTCTCATGGGCGCTGACAAGCTGTACACCATCAGTGCGTTCAAAATTGAAAAGACAGACAGTAAATTCTTATTCAGCTGCATCGACTGCAGCTTGATCGTGCCTTGCTAC